TGGTTTTATCTCTCTAGAGAACCCTGTCTAACACAATGACTTTCATCTGCTTTAAAGCCCCAAGGCACCTCAGGCCTTAGACTCCTGCTGTTAACCTCTTCAAAAATATTTTAATAGCGCAAACCAATCTATTCCATAACCTTACTACAATGTACTAGGCATCACTGGAGGTATCTGATGTTTCTCATATTTATTACTATGCTATAAATTACACTACAATGAACAGCTTTGTGCATCAAGTTGCTTTCCTACCTTCCTTCCCTCCCACCTTTCTTTCTTTTACTTCACTAGGGTATGACTCTGGTGAGGCATCAAACATTTGTGGAAGAATGTAAAGAAAAGATGATAGAATTTGTCAGCAAACACTTTGAAGCACCCTCATAATCCCAAATCCCTGGATACAAATTGCTTCCATGTGGACTAGGAAGGATCCACAGTCAAGAGAAAATAAAGAAAATAAAACAAAAACAAAAGCTGCCAAATCTGCTGCCATGGAGTCGGGTTTCTAAGACACTTAATTTTTATAGGAGCAAGACAGCCTCGTCATTCTTCTGTGGAGCCAGAGGCTGGTGCATTTGAGGCACTGGTCCTGCGGTTAGCAGCACAATGCTCACCACTTAACCCACAGCACCACCAGGGCTCCTTAGGAAGAGAACATGGCCTTGACTGATCTTTCGATGCTTCCTCAGACCTCACTTCCAGGTTGGGAAGCTGATAAATGGTCATTCTAGATGCTCAAGACTTGAAGAAGCAGCTTCCTACTTCCTGGGGAGTCTGGGGTTGGGGTGAGGAGAGTGGGGGCTCAGATTGGGTAGGAGGAGACTCAGCTACAGCAACTGAAAAGAAAGAGGGCAAATGACACCCAAGTGTTCACTCCGAAGAAACTTGATAGGTTCCTTATGCACTTGAATAAATTGATACGCCAATCACAGGAACAGGACAGGAACAGCTGCTGCTTTGTAGAAAGGCCATGTCTCCAAAGAGCCTCATTTTGTGGGTTTTACGTGTCTACAGGGGAAAAATCGGAGCCATTTCCTCATGAAAACAGGCAGAGAATTTCAAATAATAAAAAGGGGTTCTCACTTTTCGGAGTCTTGCAAGGAGACCAGCTACATGTTCATGCTGCTCTGACTTAGCGAGGTCTTCTGCTGTCTTTCCATCCTGTGGGAGAGAAACGATTATTTCTTTTCTCTGCAAGAAAAGATTGTGTGGCCTGTACCAATTCCATCCAGCTGAGGCCAAAACAAGCCCAACAGGCGTCAGAAGCAATTAACCTGGACCAAACGCGTGTGTTCAGAATTGTTTGGCTACCAGTGTGATCCGATCTCATTAAGTTGTCCAGAACAGGGTGCTAAGGGCAGGGAAGGATTGAACATGAATGCTTTGCGGTCCAAAGCGAGACGCATCGTGGGCCCCAGGCTTTCAGTAAGGCTCTGTCTGCTGCCTCCTTAGCCATCTGGGTCCTCCATGTCTGAGCCTCTCTCCAATTAGGCAGTCAATTAGGGTTGGCATCCGATGCCAGACTCTAGTCCATGCGAGCGAACCTGGTGAGTCAGCACTCACAGGATGCTGCTTACTGGGCTGGTCTTTACTGTGCACTTTACAGAAAAGGCGAGGTTTGCTCTCAAGGGGTTCAGGGACCATAAAGGGAAGAAAGATGGCTGCCCAGAACCTTGGAGCTTGCTTTTAAATTTGTGACTCTTCCCAGGGCTGTGGTTTCACACAATGCAAATGCATTTCCTCTTTTAAGCCAGGAGTAGGAAGACTAATACAAACAGTAATCAAGCGCCTCCTGTGTTCTTAGCGTCACCATGAAGGAGCTCTCAGAGCGTCCCCTTGGGGAAGGGAGCTAGCACTGTCCCCATGCCACCACCAGGAAGCGGACGCTCCAGGGCTGTCGGTGTGTGCCGGTTTGGAGATCAATACAGTTCCCAAAGATGAAAAGCAATTTTGCAGAGAAATAAAAGTTACTTTAAAAAGGGCAAAAACAACCCTCCCAAAACAAAACAAACAACTCACTCCCAACAAGTCCTAAAGAAGGCAGGCGCTTGGTTTTTCTCCATGCGCCCCCTGGTGGAGGAGGGGCTCCCCTCACACCTGCATTGAGAGGCTCTCCATAGGGCCTCTGCGGGTGGCAGCAGTGCACATGATGGGATGGAAGGCACTTTGACTCATGAGGTCCAGAAGCTGGAGGAGACCCCATGCTGACTACTTGGGCCAGCTAGCAACCTGCGCTTCAAAGACATCCTGCTCTTGGCAGCTGCTCTTCTGGTGACCCATATGCTTCACAGAGAACATGATGGGGGTCCAACTGGGTGGCAATGACAGAGAAATGAACCAGGGGCCCTGGTGGCACAGTGAGGTATGCGTCCTATAGGGCTGTCATGAATTGGAATCACCTCATTGACACTGGGTGGTGGTGGGGAATGGGGTAAGCACTGGGCTGCTAACTGTGAAGTCAGTGGTTCCAAGCCACCAGCTGCTCCATGGGAGAAAGATGAAGCTTTCTGCTCCCACCCAGACTGCCAGCCTCAGACACCTGGGAGCAGTACTACTCTGATCCTATAGGGTTGCTATGGGTCAAAACTGACACAATGGTAGCTGGTTAATCAGAAGATGATCTGAAAGAACATGTACACTACCTTTCACATTTTACAGGCAGCTTAGGGGTAAATAATGGATACATTTTTTACCCTGCAGAATTGTAAGGGTTGGCCCATTGAGCATCCATTCATCAAAGGTTACATTACACCTGCACTGTGCTCTATTCATTCATTCATCTCACAAGCTATTATTGAGTAACTGGTACATACCGGCAGCCGGGCTTTAAAATAAAACAAAATACCCAAGCTCACTGCCATAGAGCCACCGAGTAGATTCTAACTCACAGCGACCCTGTAGGACAGGGTAGAATTGCCCCTGTGGGTTTCTAAGAGTGTAGTTTTACAGGAACATAAAACCCCACTGTTCTCCTCTGGAGCAGCTGGTGATTTCAAACTGCTGACCTTGTGGTTAGCAGCCCAGTGCTTACCTACTGTGCCACCAGTGCTATGAAAAGAAACAAGATCAACAAAAATATTAATTCTCAAAGAATGTACCAAGTACCAGAAGGGACAGAAAGGAAACAAATGCATAAAGCAAACGCATATTATTTGCCTGATGGCGACAAACCGGGCAGCGAAGGTGAAAAGTGGTCCTGGTGACAGTGGTGGTGGGAAGGAAGAGGAACATGCCATTTTGAAGACCTCCCTGCAAAGGTAATATTTCTGTCAAGACCTGAGGAGAGCAGTGAGTGAGTCGTTTGGATATCTGGGGCAAGAACATCGCATGCTGAAGAACAGCAAGTGCAAAGGCCGTAAGGCAACAGGGTGGCTGCCACGGGTGACGAATAAGGTGGAAGCTTTCGTGGCTGGTGCAGGAAAAACAAGTGCAGCAGAGGCTGACAAAGAGACAGGGTCAGGCTGGTAGAGGGAGGGCAAGATCTTTAGGGTCTTATAAGTCCTCTTCCTAAAGACTTTCCCTCTGGGAAGAATGGGAAGCTGCCCGAGAGATTGAGCAGGACAGGGACATGATCTGACTTGTACTTTAACCGCCCTGCAGGCTGCTGTGTGAGAAACAGACTATTGGTAGTGGTGTGTGGGGTGGGGGGAGCAGAGCAGTCAGCGGGAGAGAGACAAGATGGGGATGAACTGAGAACTGAGTATAACCACGACTGAGGCTCTGCCTTGGAGAAGTCAGCAGGCAGTTTGAACTAAGCATGAAAGGCAACGTTATTGCCAGACCCTCAGGGTCACATGGTGGACAGTGGAGGGGCTGAGTAAGAGGACGTTTCTGGGGCCCAAGTGTGACTATTGAAGGATGGGAAGGGGGGAATATCACGTTTTCCTGCCACTAATATTACCACTAATTCACTGCCATCCAGTCAACATTGCAAGTTTGCCATACTGTAACTGTTTACTGGAGGGGAAGGAAGGCCCAGTTTTTCCTCTTGCGGAGCTGCTGGTGGTTTTGAACTGGCAACCATGCAGATCGCAGCCCAATGAGTAACCACCACAACACCAGGGCTGTGTGCCTCCTGATATTATCTGTGCCTGATGAAACCAAACGTATTCCTGTCGAGTCAATTCCAACGCCGAGTGACTCTACAGGACGGAGAAGAACTGCTCCATGGGGCTTCTCAGCTGCCCCCCTCTACTAAAACAGACGGCCACATCGTCCGCCCTCAGAGAAGGCTGAGTGGTTTAACCTTTGGGTTTACCACCAAACACTTAACCAGGAATTCTGTCAAAAAAGGAAACACCCAACAACCAAACTCACTGCCACCAAGTTGATGCGAACTCATAGCAAACCTGCAGGACAGAGTAGAACCGCCCCTGTGGGTTTCTTAGACTGTAATTTTTGATGGGAGTAGAAAGCCCCATCTTTCTCCCTCAGGGGTGGTTTTGAACTGCTGACCTTACACAGCCTAATGCATAACCACTACACCTCCAGGTACCACCCCAAGAAAAACCACCAAAGCCACTTCTATCAAGCAGATTGCAACTCATCTTGACCCTACAACGCTTCGGAGGCTGTCAGTCTTTACACAGACAGACAGCCTCATCTTTCACTCAAGGAATGCTGGTAGGTCTGAACTGCTAACCTTGCCATTAGCAGACAAGCGCACACTGACTACAGTACCCGGAGGCCACTGAGTTAATGATAATGTTGCATCATGTATTGTAAAGCAATGTCCCACAGGACTATAAAGACAATAATAGGGAAACTGGGGGCAGGAGAGGGCGTATGGGAACACACTGTACTTTCTGTCCCATGTTTCTGCTGACTTGAAACAGTCCTAAAAAAAGAAGCCACTGGATAAGAAGGCTATAAAGAAACACTGGGGAGCAATTGCTGAAAGCATCATGGTGGGGTTATATCTGTCGGGGAGAGCTGCCATGGGGACTGGACACTGGGTGGGGGGGCCGCCAAAGTTCTAGTTCTTGACCTGACTGGAGTGGGGTTTTGAAAGTGTGTGCTTTAATAAAACAAAAATTCATATCATTGTGAATGAGGTGGGGGAGAGCGGAGTGGAGACCCAAAGCCCATTTTTAGGCCACTGGATATCCCTTTACAGAAGGGTCTTGGGGAGGAGATGAGCTAGGCAGGGTGCGATGTAGCAATGATGAAACATACAACTTTCCTCTAGTTCCTAAATGCTTCCTCTCCCCCACTTTCATGATCCCAATTCTACCTTACAAATATGGCTAGACCAGAGGATGTACACTGGTACAGATAGGAACTGGAAACACAGGGAATCCAGGGCGGATGATTCCTTCAAGACTAGTGGTTGAGTGGCAATACTGGGAGGGTGGAGGGAGAGTGGGTTGGAAAGGGCGAACCGATTACAAGGATCTACATGTGACCTCCTCCCTGGGGGACGGACAACAGAAAAGTGGGTGAAGGGAGACGTCAGAAAGGGCAAGATATGACAAAATAATAAATTATCAAGGGTTCATGAGGGAGGGAGGAGCGTGGAAGGAGGCGAAAAAATGAGGACCTGATGCCAGGGGCTTGGGTGGAGAGCAAATGTTTTGAGAATGATGAGGGCAAAGAGTGTACAAATGTGCTTTATACAACTGATGTACAGATGGATTGTGATAAGAGTTGTATGAGCCCCTAATAAAACGATAAACCTCTCCCCCAAAAAATAACCCAAATGCTGTTTTGGTAAAATATATTTAAGCATTTCCCATGTTGCCATTCTTAAGTGTATTACTTCACATTCACTACACTATGAATCCACCAGGTATAGAGTTTTTGAAAGTCTAGGTTTTATTTTAACCTTAAAGGGGCTAGAAGGAGACCTGGTGGTATAGTGGGTACACATTGGGCTGCGATCTGCACGGTCAGAAGTTTGAAACTCCCTGGAGGAAAGACTGGGCTTTCTACTCCCATACACAGTTATAGTCTCGGAAACCTGTAAGACGTTGCTAAAAGTCAGCATTGACTTGATGGGAACGAGTGTTTCGGGACTTTTGTAAATGGGCTAGGAGGAAAGAGCTAAAAGAAGTGACTGAAGCCCGGTCCAAGAGTCAGGTGGAGGGGCAGGCAGGCAGGAAGGTGGAGGAGGGGTGGGAGATAAGGAAACAGAAGCAGCACCTCATGTTTGGGAGAAGATAAACACCAGAGGGCACTGTCAGACTGAGGGGCAGCTTAAGGCCTGGGAAGCAGAGCACTCACTGCTCACCGATGGAGAGCGCAAATGTGCACAGGCCCTCGTGCTGCCCTCTCACCGCACGGGGTGGGGCTACTCAGCACAAGAAATGTGACTGGTAAGCATGCCGTTCAGGAAAACCACACTCTGAACCTCAAAAACCGAGTACAAATCAGGGAGCCCTGCAGGCGTTAAGTTGGGCTGCGAACCAGAAGGTCAGCAGTTTGAAATCCCGAGCTGCTCGGTGGGAGGAGGAGGCTTTCTACTGAATATTGTGCTACATTTAATATTGTTGAATTTAACTGCATCTTTCTTTTACCTGATGTAGCTACTCCAGAAACCAAATTGCCTGACACTGAACCAATGCGGAGTCCTGGTGACCCTCATAAGACAGGGGAGAGCGGCCCCTCTGCTTTCCAAAGTTACCGAAGTGGAAAGGCCCATCTTTGTCCCACAGAACGGCTGGCTGGGGGTTTTAAATTGTTGACCTTGCAGGTCACAGTCGAACCTGTAACCATTACACCTCTAAGCAACTTACAGGGCCTATGTGGCACATATTCCAACTGAATTGTACTAGGTTGAAGATGTCCCTAATGTCTCTGATCGAATCATCTCCTACTAAAAACTGTCACTGACTTCCCATTGCTCCTCGTGTCAAGACCGCAGTATCCGGCGTGTCTGCGCGAGGCCTGCACAGCTGGCGTGGCCGAGTCCTCTGAGCTCATCTGGTGCACCTTCACAGGCCCTGCCAAGGGGCCAGCCGCTCTTCCTTCAGTTCCTGGAAGGTGCGCCCTCGGCTTGCTGCTCACACTCTTTGCCAAGTTAAGGACTCCTCATCCTTCGGACTTCAGGTGCCATAATTCTCCTGCAGGTAGCTCTCCCAACTCCCATGCCAGCCTGCTCAGTACCCAGGTACCTCCCCTTCACATGCACCCCACTTCATGAAAATGTAGTTGCTGCTGTGGCTCTTTGGGCCGGGTCTCTCTCCCATTAGACTCTAAGGGCTTATGTGCGTCTTCTAGTCCCTGTACTTAGCCGAGTGCCTGACAACGAAGACCTGTTCCCTATTTACAGAACAATAAATGCATGCCTACGTGAGTGCAGTTCTGAAAAGCGGACTTGTCAGCACCTGTGGGAACACCCTTGTGAACAGGAAGGGTGCCTCTGCTGGGGTGGGAAGGAGAGGACAGGAGATGAGAAGGGTGAGTCTACTTAAGGGACTTTGTGAGGAGGAGGGGTAGGTGGCTGCAAAGCGCCATGGTGAAGGTCAGAAAGAGCTGGCAGAAGGAGATGGCCATGGACCACAGAGGCCCACTGGACCAAGCCAGGGGCCCGCTGAGCCTGGGCATTCCCACAATTTAGTGGCCCCAACCTGCCTGCTCTTTTTGGCAGGACTCAGCTGGTATCTTCAGCACTATTCTTACTGGCTTATTTATTTTATTTTTAATAGACTTTTTAAAAAAGAGAAGTCATTAGGTTTGTAAAAAAAATCTGCCGGAAGTAGAGTTCCCATATCTAAGGAGTCTTTAAAAGTTTGTGGGAAAAAAATCCATTATCTCTTATTTCTATTTTCCATAAACTTTTTTAAGTCCCCTCAAGTTCCCTTCCCCATGCACAGCTTCTTATAATGAACACATCAGTCACAAGGATAGACATATAACCCCCTCCCAGGGGGATGAACAACAGAAAAGTAGGTGAAGGGCGACAGAGGATGATGTAAGATATGAAAATAATAACATAATTATTAAATATAACTTATAAAGTGTTCTTTATATAACTTATATAAAAATGTAACTTATCAAGGGTTCATGGGGGAGGGCGGGTGGAGGAGGGAGGGGGAAAATGAGGAGCTGATACAAAGGGCTCAAGTAGAAAGAAAATGCTTTGAAAATGATGAAGGCAGCATATGTACAATGTGCTTAACACAATGGATGATTGTATGGATTGTGATAAGAGATGTGAGAGCCCCCAATAAAAGTATTTAATTAAAAAAATATATGCTTTATACAATTGATCTATGGGTTGTTATAAGGGCTGTAAGAGCCCCCAGTAAAATTATCTTTTAATTTAAAAAAAAAAAAAAAGACTCCAGTCTGTGAGTCTCAGGAATTTCTTGTTCTCTCCACATGGGAGTGTAAGCCCATGGCTGGGTCAGAAACATGCAAAGTACATTGTTCATGGCAGGACACACCCAAACCAAACAAACTACAAAAACCCAGCAACCTTGTCTTATTAGGCATCATTTTGTCCTTTGAGTATTTCTTTCTTCTTTTTTAAAAAAAATACTTTAATTGGGGCTCTTACATCTTACATTATCACAATCCATTCCTTCACCCAGTGTGTCAAGCACACTTGCACATATGTCACCATCATTATTTTCAGAGCATTCTCTTCCCACCTGCGCCCTCCCTCATGAACCTTTGATACATTATAGATTATTATGTCCATATCTTACATCATCCTTTGAGTCTTTAAAGGTATGCAACTCAAAGCGTTTCTTCTGTAGGGGTTCTAGGACGGGGGTGGGGAGAACTGAAGACGTGGGATTGCAACCTATTCCACGGGCCTCACAGCAAAGCTGTGCTTCTCCATCTAGAGAGAGAAACTCCTATGCTGAATGCGGGCCCAGCCACCTGTCCTTGCAGCAAATCTGAACAATGTTCCCCACACAACCAGAGTCATCCTAGCTGCTCCCCTAAAGCAAGCAGGAGCCCCCAGTGCCCGGGAGTCTGACAGAGACATTTAGGAACAGAAAACACGCAGACTTAATAACGAATGCAGAGGCCCTGTTGGGTAACAAGGGAAACTGCGAGGTCAGTGGGAAAACAGCAGGGTTTCCTGCAGAGCAGGGCCCACAGAACGGAGGAAAGGACGAAACATTAACTCGATATGTAACGGGGTTTGTGTGGGCAAATGTTTCCGTAACTGCAGCGGAGGAGTTCACGCTGACTGGCAGCCTGTCAGCAGTAGAAGGCAGTGAGAACATGGTTGCTAAGCGAGACCATCTCCCTCCTGCCCTGGAGCCAGGACAGCCTTTTGAGTGCTTTCTCCGGACAAAAGGACTCTGGCTATACTCACAGAAGTGAGCGCTTCCACGTTGGCACCAGTCAGACAAAGGAACCGGACCACATCCAGAATCCCGTTGTTGGCTGCCAGATGGAGAGGGGTTCTTCCGTACTGGGGAAACAGCAAAGAGAGTTGATTAGATCCCACAGACAGACACAATGTTATGTAAGAGGCCTGGGATGCACCAGAAAAGAGATGGGGGAGTGGGGGGGAGAGGGAAGGAGAGAATGGCCTCCCTTCTCTAGAAGCCTGCCATCAGCTGAGGGAGGCAAGCCAAGCAGGAGGTTTTCAAAGATTTTTCATCATTAAGATGGTAAGTTCAAACTCAAACTTCAAAGGCCGAGCATAGGAGGCTTATCATAGTCTCCTGCTCTGCTGGCAGCAGTGAGGTATGAGTCAGGGCCAGAGGGCCCCACAGGTCTAGAAAGAGCTATGCCTCTGATCTAAAGTAGACAGAGCCCGGGAAGAGGGGACAGAAGGACAGTCACCGCAGATGTTCCAGCCAGAAGCGACATGAGGCTGTGTTGCCTCTGACTCATGGGGGCCTCCCTCAGGTGTCCGAGCAGACGGGCGCTCTACAGAGATTTCAATGGCTGCTTCTGCAGAAGTAGATCTCCAGGTCTTTCTCACGAGGTGCTTCTGGGAAGACCTAATAGTCAACTTTTCACTAGCAGCCAAATGTGTTCTCTGTTTGCTTGAGGCAGGGCCTCTGAAAACACGCAGATGAGGGAACATTTCAAAGCCGTTCCCTATTTCTGGCCAAGCTTACTTAGAGCAGGCCATTATTAATACACAAGGTTCTCTCTTCACCCTTCAGAAAGTACCCAGAAAGCGCACAGTGCATTCCAGCCTAAAGGGTCTTGGTCAGCAAAGCTGGTGGCCTACATGCTACATATGGCCCAGTTGTAATTCTTACATTTAAAAATATTTCCGGAAAACATTTACATGTCTAGAGAATTCAAAAGCACAAATTCAGACTTGCTTCCCTTGATCCAACGGCACGATCTGGCCAGGCTGATTAGCAGCTCCCTCCTTTGTCCGGGGTGGGAGGGCTTTCCCACCGAGCCTGCTGCTCTCAGTTAGGACCTGTGCGTGAGGCTCATAGGTGTCTGGGTTTGTGACCGAGACGCAAATGTGAACGGTACAAACAGGAAACTCTTCTAATTGGTTGGTCAAGTAGTTGCCTTCCAAATATCTTGGAATAGTCAAGTCAGTGCTTCCAATGCTTCATCAGCACGTATTCTGTCAATTCCTGGAGGCTTTTTTTGGTGAATGCCTTCAATGTAGCTTGGATATCTTTCTTCAGCACTATTGGTTCCTGATCATAAGCTGTCTCTTGAAATAGTTGAATATTGACGATTTCTGGTGTCAGAGTGGTTACACATTGGGCTGCTAACCTCAAGATCAGTAGTGCAAAACCACCAGCCATCCTGGGAGAGACAGCTGGGGCTTTCTACTTCAGCAAAGAATTACAATCTCAGAAACCCCTGGGGGCTGTTCTACCTTTTCCCATAGGGTTGCTATGAGTCAGAAATGACTCGATGGCAATGGTTTGGGTTTAGGTTGTTTTTTTGGTAAAGTGAATCTGTGTATTCCCTCCATCATTGTTTGATTCTCCCTGGATCAGTCAATATTTTGCCCATAGAATCTTTCAATATTGTAACTCGAGGCTGAATGTGTTTTCAGTTGTGTCAGCTTGAGATATGCTGAGAACACTCTTCCTTTAATCCAGGTCTTTGTACATTTCATTATACTACTTTGTCTCCTTGTTTCCCTCTGATTTTTTCTGTTCAGTTCTTTTACTTCATCATTTCTCCCATTTGTTTAGCAAAGTCTCTTCCACTTTGATCATCCACTTTGATCTTTTCTTTCTCCTTTTCACATATAATGTCTGTGATAGTAACATAATTTCCTGTTACCTTGAAGGTATTAAGAGTGAATGGGTGGAGTTTAGCCTGTCAGTCAGGTCACGGCTTGATGACCTCAGTTGGAGACACAAAGGAGATAAATAGCCCAATGGAGGCCACACTCACTCTCTCTCTCTACCTTCCCTGTCCTGCTGTTAAGACACCCAGAGAGCTGGAGGAGCCATGTGGAGACCCACGCCCCCACTGATATGCTTCCACTGCCACTGGATCCACAAGACTTTCCACCCACTGGTCAGTGATCTTCCTGCATTAGGCATCATTGAATGTGCTGTGTGAGTCTGAAGAGGAATTTATAGACTGGTATATGGCATATGGGTTAATACTGGACTGACGGACTTGATCTGGACTGAGCTGGTATATTTTCTTAATATACGATTATTCTTTGATATAAAGCTCTTTCTTATACATCCATGAATGTCCCTGGATTTGTTTCTCTAGTGAACTTGGTCTAACACAATATCCTTGACGCCATCCTGCAGTTTGTCAAGTCTTCTGTCATTCGTTGTTCAATGTGTCACATCTGTTCTTGAGATGATCTCAAACTTCAGGTGCAATATACTCAAGACTGTATTTTTGGCTCATACTGAACTGTTTTAATTTGCTTCCATTTCAAGCTGAACTTAGAGCAGTTGATGATCTGATCCACAGTTAGCCTCTGGCCTCATTCGGGCTGCTGATACTGAGCTTCCCCATAGTCTCTTCTCAGAAATGTAGTCAATTTGATCTCTGTGTGTTCCATCTGGTGAATGCCATGTATTCAGTTGCCATTTATGTTGTTGAGAAAAGGTATTTGCAATAAAGAGTTTGTTAGTTTTTCAAAATTCTATCACATGATCTCCAATTCCACTTTCATCACCATGGTCATATTGTCCAAGTAATATTCGTTCCTCTTTGTTTCTACCATTTGCATTTCAATCACCAATAATTATCAATGCACCTTGATAGCATTTCAGGATGAAAATGCATAGAATTCTTCAATATTTTTCATCAGAGCTTTAGTGGATGGTACATATATTTGAATAATAGTGTATGAACTGGACTTTTTGTAGTTGTATGGATATTATCCTATCACAGATAGGACTGTACTTCAAGATAGATCTTGAAATGCTCTTTTTGACTATGAAAGCATCACTATTCCTTTGATCCTTGGTAACCATTAATAATCTTTGGCTTCTCTATATTTTTTATTTCATATAAGTGAGGTCCATTGTATTTGGCTTTTTTGCTTCTGACTTAATTCACTCAGTATATGATACCAAGGTTCATTCATGCTGTGGCTGTGCACCACGCTCCACTTCTCTTCATGATACCCCATAAATGTTGATGGACAGTTCAGGTGAGTTTCCATCTTCTTGGTTCTTTTGAAAAGTGCTGCAGGGAACCGTAGTGCAGACAGCTCGGTTTACATTCTTGCTTTCACTCTTTCTGAGTATCTACCTAGACTCTTTCGGAGTACACACCTAGACTCTGAGTACACACCTAGACTCTTTCTTTCTGAGTACACACCTAGACTCTGAGTACACACCTAGACTCTTTCTTTCTGAGTACACACCTAGACTCTTTCTCTCTGAGTATATACCTAGACTCTTTGTTGAGTATACACCTAGACGCTTTCTTTCTGAGTATATACCTAGACTCTTTCTCTCTGAGTATACACCTAGACTCTCTCTGAGTATACACCTAGATGCTTTCTCTCTGAGTATACACCTAGACTCCGTCTCTCTGAGTATACACCTAGATGCTTTCTCTCTAAGTATACACCTAGACTCTGTCTCTCTGAGTATACACCTAGACTCTCTCTGAGTATACACCTAGATGCTTTCTCTCTGAGTATACACCTAGATGCTTTCTCTCTGAGTATACACCTAGACTCTTTCTCTCTAAGTATACACCTAGACTCTTTCTTTCTGAGTATATACCTAGACTCTTTCTCTCTGAGTATACACCTAGACTCTCTCTGAGTATACACCTAGACACTTTCTCTCTAAGTATACACCTAGACTCCGTCTCTCTGAGTATACACCTAGACGCTTTCTCTCTAAGTATACACCTAGACTCCGTCTCTCTGAGTATACACCTAGACTCTCTCTGAGTATACACCTAGACGCTTTCTCTCTGAGTATAAACCTAGACTCTCTCGGAGTATACACCTAGACGCTTTCTCTCTAAGTATACACCTAGACGCTTTCTCTCTGAGTATACTAGACTCGTTCTTTCTGAGTATACACCTAGACTTTTTCTTTCTGAGTACACACCTAGACTCTTTCTTTCTGAGTACACACCTAGACTCTTTCTC